TTTAGGATATGAATTAAAATTTTTGTGTATGAATTGAACTTTTAGGATATGAATTGGACTTTTAGTTTATGTATTGGAATTTAGTTTATAAATTGAACTTTTAGGATATGAATTGAACTTTTGTGGATATGAATTGAAATTTAGGATATGAATTGAACCTTTAGGATATGAATTGAAATTTTTGTATATGAATTGAGCCTTTAGGATATGAATTGAACCTTTAGGATATGAATTGGACTTTTAATTTATGTATTGGAATTTTAGTTTATAAATTGAAATTTTAGGATATGAATTGAACTTTTGTGGATATGAATTGAAATTTAGGATATGAATTGAAATTTTTGTATATGAATTGAACTTTTAGGATATGAATTGAGCCTTTAGGATATGAATTGGACTTTTAATTTATGTATTGGAATTTTAGTTTATAAATTGAAATTTTAGGATATGAATTGAACTTTTTAGGATATGAGTTGAACCTTTAGGATATGAAATTAATTAACTAAAAAAGATTAGGATATGAATTAACTAAATTAATTTATTCTTATTTTATTTGTATAGATTGAACATCGTACTTGGATGTACAATAGGAATTATCCTAATCAGCGGGGATTGCGGGAGGATTTTGTAGAAGGTGTTGATGACTTTATTAGACATGCAATGGAACTTCCACCAAGAATAACTTAGATACAGTACCTGGCAGAGTGAGTCTTTAATTGTTGTTCTCATTAGTAACAATGATTATGAGAAGGCAATGACATGTGTTTCAAACAGTGATGGTGTAGGTAGGAATTTAACATTTCCTAAGCAGATAAAAGAAGAGGTTATAGAGGAATTCTCTACTTCATTTTCCAAGAGGAAAAGAAGTTTAATTGAGAGTGACAAGGTTGATGATAATGGAAAGCTGTTCGTTGCTCATGGCAATTCCCATAAAATGGGGATCATAAGACTCGCTGATGACAAAGACGAAAGGAAGTTTTATTCTCAACTTTCTTCCAAGTCTGATCCGTACAAGATTAATGGGATTGATGATATTTCTTCAGATTCAGACAATGATTTGAGTGACAAAAGTATGGAAATGCTAATCAAAAGAATTAAAGGTAAAACGCTTCTCTAAGGAAGAGAAGTTTGGAGAAATCTGTTGCCTATAAAGTGCACATATCACGTTCATGCAGAGTTCAGCATCCTTCTCTTCCAAGAAAAAATGTTTTACCTTTAATTTTTTTGATTAGCATTTCCATACTTTTGTCACTCAAATCATTGTCTGAATCCGAAGAAATATCACCAATCCCATTAAGCTTGTACGGATCAGACTTGGAAGAAAGTTGAGAATAAAACTTTCTTTCGTCTTTGTCATCACAGAGTCTTATGAATTCCGTTTTATGTGAACTACCATGAGCAACGAACAACTTTCCATTACCATCAACCTTGTTACTCTCAATTAAACTTCTTTTACTCTTGGAAAATGAAGTAGATAATTCCTCTATAACCTCTTATTTTATCTGCTTGGGAAATGTTAAATTCCTACCTACATCATCCCTGTTTGAAACACATGTCATTGCCTTCTCATCATCATTGTCGCTAATGAGAACAACAATTGATCAAAAACACACCCTGTCAAGTACTGTATCCAAGTTATTCTCTGTATCCAAGTTCATTCCGAGTAATAGTACTACGAGGATAATCACCAAAGCCACCAGACAGCTTTATGATGCCAATGAAGCAAGGTGAGCTATTCAATGAGACTCGTATTGTAAAGAAGAAGAAAGAGACTGATTCAGAAAGGTGGATTGAGGGCCGAGCCTCGACTATACATGTAAGTTTTTTACTTTTCATTAAGTATTTTAATTTACTTTTATATAAATTTTGAAATACTAATTCAATGTAACTTTTCTTATAGGGTCGCTTCACAACTGACGTGGAGGAATTCATAAGCAGTCAGCCACTTAATGAGTAGGGCGAGGCAATCCAACTTTCGGACGAGGATGCTGAAAGAACACTCTGTGAGTACTTTATATACTTTGAACTAGACAATAGAACCAGTTTTCGAATGGGCTTGTAATAAGCGTTAACTTAGTTTTGTTAGCTTAATGTGTTAGTTCTATTGAACTTTATACTTTGTTGGTTTTAATGTTGTTGTTAACGTTGTTGTTGTGTTGTTGTTGGTATTGTTATTGTTGTTGCTTGTAATAGGGAATTTGGTATGCTGGCAGGTGGTGTAGCTGCCAAAACAGGCAGTTTCTACCAAAATTATATCCAGAAAAGCGACCAACTTTGATCGCTTTCTATTTAAAAAAATATTTTCTGGGCAATAGCGACCAAGGTTGATCGCTCAGATTTCCTAAAAAGCGACCAACTTTGGTCGTTGTTCTATTAAAAAAATTCTGTAAAATAGCGACCAATTTTGGTCGCTTATGTTTTAAAAAAAAATAATTTTTTTTTTAAAAAAAGCGACCAACTTTGGTCGCTATTTTCCAGATTTTAAAATATAATATTTGGTTTACAGACCAAAGTTGATCGCTATATTTTGATTAATAATAAATAAATAAAAAATGTAATTTAAATTTAGAGACCAACTTTGGTCGCTATTTTCCAGATTTTAAAATATAATATTTGGTTTACAGACCAAAGTTGATCGCTATATTTTGATTAATAATAAATAAATAAAAAATGTAATTTAAATTTAGAGACCAACTTTGGTCGCTAAATCTATATTATTAAAATATTAAAGCGACCAAAGTTGGTCGGTATACTGTTTACCCGAAATATTTGGTCCTTTTACCTTAGAGACCAAAGTTGGTCGCTAAATTAGCGATCAACTTTGGTCTCCAAAGGCGGATCTAGAATTTTAGTTCTATGGGTTCAGCATTTAAAATTATGGGTTCATATCTATTATTTATTGCAATTTTAGTGATTTTTTACACGTAAATTTATGTTCCACATTGAAAGTACTGGGTTCAGTTGAACCCGATAGTTGTATGCTGCATCCGCCACTGTTGGTTTCTAAGGTAAAGGGACCAGCAAAATAGTGACCAAGCAAGTTTGGACGCTTTTGGTCGCTTTTTGACCTGTAAGCGACCAACTTTGATCGCTTTTTGTAATGGCTTTTTTTCGGATTTCTAGTAGTGCTACTTCTCAAAGTTTGCGAACATATCTACCTTCTCCAAAACCCACTTGTTTAAGCATAAAAACAACGTTTGACTTGTGACTTTGTTGGGCAATTCAGATCATGACCTTCTAGCAACCCATAGTTGATCTAACCTATATTAACCCACACATACTTTAAGAGGATTTGGGTCATTACAACCATACTTAATCTTTCTTTACCCACCCAAATTTGAGCCGACCAATCATTTAACATCCTTAGATCCCACACGGTTAGCAAATAGTTGTGGAAATACAAGGAAAGAAGAAACTATTTATTGTCAGCCATATTTCCCAGTCAAAGTCTTATACCGTCCAAGTTTCCCCTCCACGCTTCACGCTATTGACTTTCTATTTATTTAGTGGGAGTAATAAGTTGGTATACTTTCTTCTTTGTAATTTCAACTGTTCTTCACTTTTTTTCCTTCCAGATGTTCAAAGGCTGCTCCTCCTAAGGGAATATAACATACAAGCCTAGTAATAAAGTCAGCTTACGCACCCGGGCAGTTCGGTGCATTAAGCTCCCGCTATGCGCTGGGTCCAGAAAAGGACCGGATCACAAGGGTTTATTCTACGCAATCTTACCCTAAATTTCTGCAAAAGTTTGTTTTCACAGCTCGAACTTGTGCCCTCCTTGTCACATGTCATCGACTTTACCAGTTACGCCAAGACCCCCTTCAATATTCCATAAATATAAATCTCGACTAATTCTGCATGCAAAGACTTAAACCGATGAAATACATCTAACTACAAGGAGACAATTTTTGTGTTAGCCTATGAACGTAACAATTAAACCCAATTTTGAAATGTTAGCACCCACTAATGCTTGCGTTAGAGTAAATTGTCTATATCACACCCTTTGGAATGCGATCCTTTTTTCCAATCCTTACGTAAGTACGGAATACTTTGTGCATCCGACTGCTGATAAAAATTTCAGTTAATACTGCAAGTCGTAAATCAAACTTAGTCAAACACTTTGGTAATACTAAGCTTGTAACAAAAATCACCCGTTTTAGTTTAGTATGGCATGATCCTCAACTTGAATAAACGATCAAGCATAAGATCCATACCAATTTGAAAGCCATATTCTCCTCTTGTATACTACTTTAGTACTGCTATTAATTGCTAAAGTAGTCACTACACATTTTATCAATCAAAATGCTAAAATGCAAGAAACTTATAAATTCCGGAAGTAATTTTAAGATTACCAAAGGTTAAAAATCTCATCTTTGTCTCATCAATTTTCCTCTTTTCTCTATCTCTCTATACCACTGAACCAAAGTTGTCGATTTGTGCGCGTCATCTTTCCACTTAATTCATGCTAATCTTCTATGTATTGTTCTAATTTTATCGGATGTCCCCCTAAGCGATCTTGGCCGTAGCTTTGCAACAATGCTCGACCTATTTCTTGAAAATCCCGTCAATGGCTCAATAATAGAGTCTCGGTATTTGCACGGTAACACCTGAATCCTCGCTCTTTTTGATCGGACAACCGGCGACGAACATTTTCCGTCCACCGTCTCCTCCACGTATTCCATTCCCCAGCACTTATTTCTCCGTTTCAGCTGCTTTGTTCTGCTTTTCTTCTCCGGCTCCGGTTCAAAATCAGAATCCTCGTCTTTGAATTCACCAAATATCAATCTTGCTGCTTCAATGAGCAAACCCATGAACCCCTTTTCCTCTTCAAGTTTGGTAATTTCAGAAACCCCATTAGTAATCTCAAGCTGAGAACTTTCTAGAATTTCCACGTCAGCACCGGAAAGTCCACCATTAGTGTGAACTTTAACTTCTAAAAAACTGTCACTGTCCAACAATTTTTCTTCTTTCCCAACTTCACATTCACCATCAGAGCATTTCCCAACCCCACCGGAATGTTCACTCCCGGTGGCGGTGAAACCATCAACCGGAGACTCAGATTCTTGATTTTCCGGCGAAGCACAAAACCCAACATTCAAGTCAATGGGGAATTCATTAAACTCGGTTTTCACAACATATTCTGATTCTTTGAGTTGGGAACTAGATAAAGATTGAAGCTTTATGGTATTTTCAGGTGGGATAGTGGAGATTGTCCTTAGAATTTTGAACAGACAATTCTGTGCTTTGGAACAAGTAGGGTGTTTTTCGGTACAAAGTGAAGATGAAGAGGAAGTTGCTGATACATAGCGTACCTGATTAGAATGATTCTTCAACAATTGATGTGAATCCATTTTCCTCCTTTTTGCATCGATCAAATGGAAAATTACAGAGGTAGCTTTCTAGTTCTGTAATGAAAAGGGCATAGAAAAAGAGAAAAAATCGAAGAGAGAGAGAGAGAAGTTATAGAAACAAGAAAATGAAGACCCGATTCTCGTCCGTTTTTAGTACTTGTACTAGTACTGGTCGTTCATTTTCATTTTCATTTTGATTTTTCACTTTTCTTTTCTCTTATTTTTACGTTGCTTAAGGGATAGATCAGAGAATGAAGGGTCAAATTTGCTCTTATATTTTGTGAAATTAAGCAACTTTGTTTTATTCTATTTTTTTTTTTTACGGGAAATAGCTTCTCTGTCTGTCCAGATAGAAATAAGGCTGACATACATTTCACCATTTTCAAACCCCTCACTGGATCGTTATTGTTGTTGTTGTTTTATTCTAAATTTTTGGTTTAATATTATCTTATCATTAGGAAAAAGTCTTACTTTTTCGTTGATTTCTAGTGGAGCATCATTTGAGAGTAATTTGAACTTATTTTCAAAAAAAAAAAAGGAAAATTTGAAATCCTTTTTGTGGTGCCCGCTAATTTCATATTGAAATTTCATTAATGGAAGGAAAATATAAAATAATTCGCGAATGCAAGGATACAACAAATGACATATTGAATCATTTCGAATAAGTAATACAGAAAGAGTCATCTCTTTTGAATAAAATGCGTATACAATCGCCAAACTGTTATAAATAAAGATCGTAAAGTAAAGACAAGTATAGAGAGAAACTGATATATTATTCGAATTCAAACTGATGTACATAATGATCTCTTTTATTTATAAAAGAAAGGAAGCTGCTGTGTAAGCTGTTACTATACCAGATATGGATAATCTTTTACTGAGAGCAATGTTTATCCATAACGGAGTACTGAAAGGATAAAAGCTTATTATATCCGATATGGATAATCTTCTACCGGGGGTAGTGTTTATCCATAACTGGGTACTGAAAGGATAAGTTTATTATACCCGATATGAATAATCTTCTACCGGGGGTAATGTTTATCCATAACTGGGTACTGAAAGGATAAGCTTATTATNAAACTTATTATACCCGGTATGGATAATCTTCTACCGGGGATAATGTTTATCCATAACTGAGTACTGAAAGGATAAGCTTATTATACCCGGCATGGATAATCTTCTACCGGGGGTAATGTTTATCCATAACCGGGTATCGAAGTGAAAAGCTTCTTCAAGAAGCTTATTTCCAATAGAGTACTTAAATAGATAAACATATTTACGGTGGAGTTCCATATGGATAAGTTTCTTCAGAAAGTTTATTTACAACGGAGTACTAAATGAACATCCATAATATAATATATTTATAACACTCCCCCTTGGATGTTCATTAAAAGATAATGTGCCTCATTAAAACCTTACTAGGAAAAACCACTTGGGAAAAAATCCCAGTGAAGAAAAAAGAGTACACATATTTAGTAATACGCATTACTGGCTGCCTCATTAAAAACCTAATAAGGAAAACCCTGTGGGAAAAATCTTAGTAAAGAAAAAAGAGTACAACGCGCATTTTACTCCCCCTGAAGAAAACCTTATTTCAAATATTTGAGTCTCCGCATTCCAATCTTGTATACCATATTCTCAAAAATTGATGTTGGTAAAGACAATCTGCTGGATTGTCACTTGAACTAATTTGATGCACATCAATGTCACAATTTTCCTGAAGATCATGTATGTAGAATAATTCTGGTGAAATGTTCTTCGTTCTATCTCCTTTTATAAATCCTCCCTTTAATAGTGCTATGCATGAAACATTGTCTCCGTATAATATTGTGGGTCTTTTATCACATTCCAACCCACATGTTTCTCGAATGAATCACTGATCTCAATCATATGCACTCCCTGCTTGCCGGTTTGAAATCGAGCTTTATGGGTATCGGATAAATAACTTGCATCTGCATTATCAATACGATTTGCACCACTTTTGTTAGCATTAGCAAGATAAATAAGTGCACCATCTACACCAAGATAGAGTATTTCAGGACCAAGGAGCTCTTCATCCTCTTCTAGAGGTTGGAACAGATCCTTATTCACTTCAAGTGATTGAATATTCATTGGTGTACTTAATGGGTACCCTTTGTCCATGTAAAAGTAATTTTAAGTCCCTCTTGGAGCTCTTTCGGAGTTCCAATAAGATTTATGTCACCAACATAAACAGCAAGTGTAACAAATTTTGATGACATTTTCTTTATAAAAATAAATGGACAAATAACATAATTTATGTAACTTTCTTTCATCAA